TTCATGACTTTCTCAGTAATGGATACATTTCCCTGTAATTGAAAGTCAACATGATTATATTTTTAGTATTTTTGTCTACTGTTTATATCTTGGAGATGATTAAAATGCTGACTTTTCGGCTTAAAATTATTTTGCACATTAATTATATGTTGCCATTTCATTTACAGATATATGACTCAAAAATTTTTGTTGATGTTTCAAAGTTGTTAAAATTCCTTGCTAATGTTCCATTTGCAGTTTGCATAAAAGCACTATGCATCTATCACTTGTAGAAGAGAATACTGGTGCTTTTCTATATCCAGTTATTTTCTCTATCCTGATCCCATGAGAAATGACACTTCCCACTCTCTTTGCAGCTAGTCTTGGCTGTGTGAATAAGTCTAGCCAACAAAATGTGAGTGGAAGTGATGCATGCCACTTCCAGGCTAAGATAGTTAAGAACTGATACGCTGTCTCCACTTCTCTTACCCAGCTGTGGCAATCTTGGAAATTACAGGCTAAAATGGCAATGTTGGAAGACTCGGAGATTGAATCTCAGATAAAGGAGAGCACCCTCTGACTCATGTCAAAGTTTGGAAGATGAATCAGTAAACTGTTGAGGTGACATACTGAAAATACAGGGTTTGCCAGTAGCAAGTGTTATTGATCACTTATTCTAACATAGAATTTTTTTTCATGCTTTCCTTTGAGCTCAAGTTCTTTAGGCCCTATTAATATTTATTTGCTTTAAATGAAAACATGAATCAGGTCATAGCAGCTAAAATGTACAAACTCTAAAATAAAGGCATTTATATAAGTCCTCACAACAAATTTAATGTTCTGTAGGCATATGGGCTATTAAATACAAATCTACATTTATTTTGGTAAGGCAAAGGCAAATGTTGCCAGGCTTATTATTATTAAAATTAAAGTTTTAACAGATAAATGGGATAAAAACTTAGGAGTGGCCAACTCTGAACTTTTATAATGACCTATTCTAGAAAGTTGGGGCACATGTACATTAAAAATATGGCATTTGTGCTCACTTTGGCAGCACATATACTAAAAAATATGGCATTCAATTATTTTCACTAGAAGCATTGTATGATTTATTTTGAAGAAAATAGTCTAGTTCAATATAAAAATGTAGATGCTTTAATAGAAAGGGAAGGGGAAAAGGTGTGGGGGAGATATTGAGATTGATTCTTATCTCAGTATTACATTCTTCTTGTTTTATTTTGGTACCGGGGATCGAACTTGGGGACCTTGCACTTCCGAGGTAGGCAGTGGAACCACTGAGTAAGTCCCTGGCTCCACATTATTATTCTTTATGGCTTTATTCATTCTATTAAAAGAAACTTAAAATGAAGTATTTAAATTTCTTTATGTAGGTTAGCTAATCTATACAATATTTTATACAAAATGGTTATTTTTCTATTTCTTCAGAATGTCTCATAGTGAAATAAACATTGTTGCTCTTGAAATAAAGCCACATTCCTTAAAAATTAAGCAAATGAATAAAGAAAGACAATCAGGAAAACATACACTAAAGCAAGCAAGAATAACGGTATTTAGGGTATGTTTATATTGTAGAAAATAAAAATTTAAAAATTATGTCAGTGGTTTATTCTGTAAGAATTAAAGACATTATCTTTAGAAAAGCCATGAAAATTGAATGCAGAAAATGAAATGAAAATTTTCCAGGGAAATACAAATTATCCAAACCAATTGAAGCATAAACTGAAAATCTAAAAAGAACAATAATCTTGAAGAAAATGAAAAATTCATCTGTTGAATCACTTGGGGCCAGGCCATGTAAAAAGTAAACTTCTTAAAAAGGGAGAGAGATTTTATGATTCTTACAATGTATAAACTAATCCTGTACAAAGGAAACAGATAAAGCCTCCAAATTGATTTCATGAAGCACATGTTGAGGCGTCAGTCATCAGTCTGCCCTCATGAGTCTTCCTTCAACCTCAAAACACTAAATAAAATGTTTGCAACACTGTTCTTGAACTTTGTGGAGGGAACACATTATAATCTAAGCAGAATTAGCCAGGACTGACATTCCTCTGGCTTCTAGGGTTGCAGGAAGGCCCCATCTGTCGGGCTCCAGGTCCACTGTGCCCCTTCTAACCAGTTTAGCTCAAACTTAAATTAAGGGCCCGAAAATGTTATCCCAGTCTCCACCAGCACTTTATGAAACTATCCTGGTATAATTTGGCCACAACTTCCACTTATGACCAAGCCCTTTTTGAGTGAGAGATCCTAAAAGAGAGAGGAAGAAGAATCTGTCTTCTCACTACAGAGTCCTTATGGAGAGTCCATGGATGATGCCCACAAAGTTGGTGCCTACCTTTTATTCTCCAGATCAGAACACTGGGCCAGTGGTGTAGCCTTGGAGGGGACTTTGCCTTTTCTGGCCCTAGGAGTCAGTTCTAAAATTCAACAACATGCCTAGGCTGACTCTGCTGCTCCCCAGGCCAAATCCTTTCACTTTAGATTCCTGCCCTTTTGTCTTCTGCTTTTGATACAAGTGGCCAGCAGTGGACATAGGAAGACAGCCCCCTACACCAGCTCGTGTTTCTCTGTCCTTCCATTATATAGAAACCCTTATCAAGCTCACAACTTTTGGAATGAGTTTTTTTTTTTAATAGAAAAGTACCCTTTTATTGAGAAGTAAGACAAGTGCATTTACAATATTCAATCGTTAAGATTATATAATCTGACTGAGACTTTTAAAAGCAGCAGTGTACCATGAATTACAATTTGTAAGGGGAAAAGAAAGACATTCCAAATGTTTGCTACGGAAAATACATTGGAACAACGACAGAAACACTTAAGGCTATGTAGTATTAGACCTTTTTGTCCATCTCTGTAGAAAAAAAAATCAGAATACATTTTCGTCATAAAGACAGAAGGCTGATTTTGGAAGGGAAGAAACAATAAGACAGGGCTTCTGTCAAAAGGCTAGTATGTTTAAAAATAGAGCCTCATCAAGGTTTGGAATAAGAAATATATGCTGCCAAGCAGTCCCACACTCGCAGGATATTAACTGCACTCATTAGAAACTAAAAACTGCTCCAGTCCCTCAACCTCACTAAGGACTCAGAGATTACAAGAGTCTTTTCAAGTCCAATAATGCTTTCTGAAATAAGATTGCTGAAAAAGGATCTGTTAACAGTGCAAAGAACATTTTGATAGAAATTCATGTTTACAAAGAAGTTAAATGATACAGATGTTCCTTACACCAGCAGATGCTGTCCTTGCTCTAAAAAGGGAGAAATACCTAGCTAGCCACTGTAACTAATTATGAGTCAGTCAAAAATACGTGTAAGAGTCCTTCAGGGCACCTTGTATAAGTCAGTTCCTAATGTATACACATTTGACACTCTCCAAGTGAGGATATTACTTCTTTTGAAGAACATCAGACACAACACTAAGTCTCTTATTCCATGAACTATTGAGGTAAGAGTCTCTGTTTGTCGCGTTTTCACAGATTACATCATAAAGTCAAATGCAAGTACCAAACACAACAGTAATCCACAAGACTGAACCATTACACTTTGTACCGAGTCTTCCCTTCTGTAGACAAGCAAGATTGGGAGTTCTTTGTGCATTCTGATATAACTAAAACAAGCAAAAAAAGCTTAGATATCTTGTAGACATGTTTGTAAATAAATATCACAAATTTTAATTATGCCTTTATGTGTTAAGGAGCTTTGCAACTGTTAAAAAAATAAATAGTGCAATCAATGGTCATAAAATAGTACTGTGGATATTGAAATGTGTTCCTACATCTACAACAAAAGCTGTGACCTTAGAAAAGGAAATGACTGTTGTTTCTTACTATCGATCAGCAACAGAAGGAAGAAAAAGAAAACATGTCTTTAAGAAACCACAGGCAGTTTAATTATGGTAAAATAATGTTAGATATTTTCTCCACTAACTCAAGGACAAGAGCGATCACGGGAAGCATGTATCACACATCCTGATTTTTGTGTGTTATGAAAAAGCTGAAAATACAGGAAAGCTCATTAAGTGAACAGCCCTTAAACAACAGTTATAGGTTTAGCTTTTTAACATGTTACATGTCTTAAATACTACCAAAAGTTAGTTTAATTTATAAAAAATAAACCACTGCTGAATTTAAAAATAATAAAGAAAAACAACATCATGATGGAAAAAACCCATTTGGTATGCATCATTTAGTATCTTAAATAAAAGACTATTCAAAGAAACAGGCTATGTAACCAATGACTTCCTGGTCAAGAACGCTTTCTGTTAAATGCTTAGATGTAATGAACAATACAAACAGGTGTGTAGATTGGACTTCCAAGAAGTATGAGTGTTTTTAGAGTATGTCACCGACCAAAATTGCTTCATCAGTTGGAATTTAGAAACTAAAAGTTAGTAAAGGATGACTTAGAATGTCTAGTTCAGATTTTCACTTGGCTTTAAAATATTAAGTTTCAGAAGAACCATAAAAGTTTTACTTTAATCACATTTACCCAAAAAAGTGATCCAAAACGTGAAAACGGGCTTTCCTTGGGTTAAATACATCAAAATGACATAGTCCCTTCCAATTCATGCATCACTTTCCAAGACACAGTGCAACTGGAAATGTTTTTGCCATCACAGTGGCTATTTCTAAAAGCCAATGCTTAGGGATGCTCCTGAACCTTAAAAATAAAAAGAAGTAACAGGCACCAGAGTTTTCTAAGGATGGCTGTGTTTCACACACTGTGGATAGATAAGAAAAACAGTCTTCTAGAGTTTCAATCCACATTGTAAATGGATTTTATCTCCCTCAGTTTGCTTGCTGACTTCTCAGAGCACTTGATCAAAAGCCTGTTTTCACTGGTTCTTTGCTAACTGCTGTTGGTACTTTGTAGGCTACACATTTAAACTTCTGTAAAGAACACTGCAAGCTATTTCATGTAATTTAAGTTTGTTCTGAATATCCTTCAAAGGATTTTATAAATAATACAATATTTTAAATGAGTCTTCAAATTCACTTGTTATACCATATTGTTGCTTTCTCCAACTTTATCTACAAATGATCTGATTCCAGGTAAATTTAAGAGGGATCCAAGGACTGGCACTCTTCTAATAAAGCCAACAACCATAGGAAAGAAGCCCCTGAACAAGAGAAAGAATCCATAAATTTCGAAGATCATGCCTATCAAAGGCCAACCAATAAGAACTACAAATACACCACCCAGAAAAAAATCCTGTAGCTTTCATTTTATGTTTTTCGAAGAAGAATCTGAATGTTCTTTCTAAACCAATTACAAAAGCCAAGCCAGCCACAAATAAAACATTTCCAATAGCCAGTAGTGCTTTGTCAAAAAAGAGAATCATTCCAAAGAACAGGAAAAACACTCCAAATCCCGTTAATCCCATTCCAATTTTCTGGGTATCTGTTAAAGAGATAATGGTTGCAGCGGAGAGGCCGGTGGGGGTGGCGCCTTGGAATGCCCAGGGTGGGAAGCTGAGTCTGGAATGAGTTTTTAACAAGAGGAAAAGCTCCATACTTTAATGAGCCAATTCAAATAATATCCACTAAAGAAACTCACAAATATCCTTTAAGTCCTCAACTTTTTAATTAAAAGGTCACACAAGTGAACATTTCCTAAATGAATACTTTTTCTCTCATTTTGTCTGGTGAGGAATGAGACTCAAGGACAATCCAAAACATGTGACCATGCAGACACCCTGCTCTATTAAAACAAAACTGACTTAGTATTAGAACATTCATTAATAATCAAACATCACATCATTAGATTATAGGAGAAAAACATGTGGCCATCTGGATAGAGACCAGAAACAAATTCAATAAAATTTAACATCCATTCTTCATAAAATCTTAGAAACCAGGAAAAACTTTTCTTTAGAAATGAACAAGGAACATATAGAATGCTGACATTGTAAGAAGATTCTCATTCTATTTAGGATCTCCACTATTTTGTTTTAATATATAGCTGCTTTATACCATGCTGTACATAAAAATGATCCTCTAACTTGCAAATTGAAGAGGATTGTGATGGATACGCACCTGGCTGTTAGCCAATTAATCAATACCTTCACTTTCACTCTGTACCTCCCCATGCACATTTATTAGCCTTTAGCCTTGGGATATCATTGATTCTTCCAGGGGTAGAAACTGCAATCAGTCTGACCAAGAGTCTTTTCCTAAGACAATTTAGAAGAGCAAAAAACATGAGAGAATAACCACAGCAAGTGTGTGGGCTAAAGGCTGTGGGTGGCTGGAGTTGCAAAAAGTTACATCTTCTTTTACTTAGTTCAAATTATCTGAGAAAGTCTCTTTGCTGAAAAAGAGAGAGAAGGATGGAGCAAACAGATGGATGCAGAATTAAAAGAAAGGCAACATCATTTTAGTTCATTATGAGGTACAGACATGGTCCTGTTTTTGGGTAATAGAGGCTTCGTGTTTTTATAGCAAAGTTTACTTTTTGCTTGTAGCTGTTTACGATGTAGATAGCAAATGGTATATTTTTAATGTACTCACAATGACAATAAAGACTGTATATGACAATAAAATATTTTCCACATAATGGCAGTAAAAAGATAAACAAGAGGAACAAACTAAAATGTGAAAGTTATTTGTATGATGAATACATTTAGTACTTGTCAGAGATAAAATAAAAAACTTAACAATGGTAGGCTTAGAATGGTAAGGTGATCAATTGTCTCTCAGTGCTTTTATATTCTAACACAGTTTCAATAAAAATTACAATGATATTTTTCTTAGATCATGACTTGTGATTCTGAAATTCTGCTGGGAAAATAAACTGGAGAATGAGTCTAAAAAGCGAGAAACAGAAAGTCACATGATATGTATAGGATGACAGTAGAAGGCACTTGTCTACACAGTCAGATATTAAGATAATTTTCTGATCATTAAAAGTGTGAAATCAACACAAGGATTGAAAAGTAGATCATGGAACTGTAATAAAATGACTAAAAATAGACTGTACTACATCTGAGAGTTCAGTATAAGCTATTCTGATATTATACATTTATGGAAAAAGGAAAGATTTGCCAAGAAATTCTTCTGGTACAATCGATAAACTATTTGAATAAAAGTTTATTATCTCACTCATATGAAAATCACAAGGAAAGAGAGGTAAATATCTTGGGGTGTCAGAAATCAGTAGTGAAAAAATGCTTAAGAGAGTATATATAACTCTGAATCCAAAAATATCTCAGAAAAATTTAAGAAGCAAATAAATTTGAAATACATTTATCCCTTGTGATAAAAGAGATTAGTATGACATTTCAATTCATATGTACAATGTGTAATGATTAGATCTGGATAATTGGCATACCCATCACCTTAGACTTCTGTCATTTTTTGTGTGTGTGTTGGAAACATTCAAGATCCTTTCTGCTATCTATTTTAAATGTATAATTAATTGTTGTCAACCATGACACCCTATTGTGCTATAAAACATTTGAAGTTATTCCTCCTATGTAATTGTATCCTGTACCCATTCACTGTGCTCTCCTTAACCCCTCTCTCCCTCACCCTTTCCAGGCTCTGGAAAACACTATTTACTTTCTATTTCTACAAGACCAACATTTTAGGTCCTATATATTAGTGAGAAAAGCTTTTTGTGCCTAACTTATTTCACTTAACATAATGTCTTCCAGTTTAATGCTGCGATTTATACTCTCGATACAGAGACAACTCTTATTAACCAACTTAAATAGATGAATAAACCCCATTATCAAAATAGGCAAAGACATTAAACCAATTTCAAAACATAAGAAAGATATATGGCCAGTAAAAATATAGGAGAAAAGCTAAATCTACTATGAAAATGAATATCATTGTCAGCAATCAGACTATTGACATTTCAGAAAATGCCAGCATAACTCTGAAGAGAAGCATAGTTATTGTGAGGGCCCCAAAGAAATTCTGAAGAAAGACTTTGATCACATCAACATAGAACTCTTTGAAAAAGAGAAGCAAAGGCTCAGCTTGACAAATGGTGGGAAAATAGGATCTGGATACCATCTGTACTCTGTGTAGACATGTACAGAATGTGATCAAGGGTGTCACATCGAACTTCTAATACATGAACATAAGGTGAGAACTGTATATGGTTATCTCCCCAATTAATTTCATTATTCAGGCAATGGGTCTCCTGTTGAAATATGAAATTTTGGGGGTGAAAAATACATCTGCAGGGTTCAAATGAGTGAAGGTGTTGCTTGTTCAGTATCTCAAGCTCAGAATGGTGAGTTAATCCTCACAGGAAATGGCATTAAACCTATTTCTAATTCAGCTGCACTGATTCAGCAAGCCACGACAGTTACAAAAAAGGACATCACACAATTTTTGGATGGTTTCTGTCTCTGAAGAAAGAACAGTACAGCAGGCTGATGAATGAGATCTAAAAGCTGTCCAGGTACAAAAATAATATACTGGATTATAAAACCAATTTTAACATTTTAATGATGGAATAAAAGGTCTTTATTGAATTAGGATTTTTTCTTTAAAAATATGAAGAGTTTAGGTTCATTAGTTATCAAAGAAATGCAGTTGGCACAATAATACTCATTGAATTTCAAATATTTAAAAAGTAAGTATATGGTCCCCAATTGTAAGGTACAAAATAAAATATTTTCGTAGTCTACTGGAAAGAGATGCATTGAAACCTTTCAGGGAGTAAATGTCAAGAACTTTGGCATTTTAAAAAAATAGTCCTTGACTTAGAATTTTAATTTTAGAAATTTGTCCTGTGGAAATACTCAGTTTTCACAGACTCATGTAGAATTTTAAAATTTATTTTTAAAATAGTAAAACAAATGCCAAACAAAGGGAATTGATTAAATAAGCTATGACCACATAATACTTTGGTTGGCAGAATAATGATCCTCCTAATCCCAAGAGGTCCAAATCTTAAACCCAGGAATTTGTGAAAAGTGTTACCTTACGTGGCACAAGAGATTTGCAGAAGCGGATAAAGTTCTTCAAATGGGAGATTATCTTGGTTTATCAAGTTTGTCTCATCTAATCACACAGGTCCTTAAGTGGACAGTCTTTCTCAACTGTTGTCCTAGGAAGGTAAGGGAGCAGTAGAGTGGTCAGAGAGATGTGATATTAATGGTGTTACTTATAGGACAGCATGAGCCAAGGAATATAGGTGGTCTCAATATGCTAAGGAAAAGCAAGGAAACAGATTCTTCCAGTGTCACAAAAGAATGAGCCCAGACAAATGAAGCCTCTGTCAGACTTCTGCAGATCTGTAATAAAATAAATTCATGTCCTCTCCAGCCCTTAAGTTTGTGGTAATTTGTAACAACAGCAATAAAAAAAACTAATACAAATGGGATCATTTGCTATCAGTCATTACAAATCTGACTGGTTAAGGATTTATTCAGTTACATGGAAAGAGCATATTATAAAACTGCAAGTATAGCAGACTAGCTCTGAGGATGAAATGTAAGTATACTAGCAATGATTGTTTCTGGATGTTATGATTGCAAGAGACTTTTTTCTTTCTTGATTTTCTATTCTCCAAATTAACATCTCTTACCTTTGTAATCAGAAAAAAACACAAATAAATGTTAGGCAAAGTATGCTTTAGTCTACATTTCTGTAATTATTAAATCAACAATAACCTAATTTACAATGGCTTTACTCCTTCCGTAAATACTTATTTCCATCTCCCAATCCAGCTAAATCTAAGTGTAATAATTACTGAAAGTTATTACTGTATTACTGTGTTTAATAAAATATAAACTTGTTTCAAGATTTATTTTAGAAATAAACTTGTGCTTCCAGTTTAATTACTATACAGTAATTGGGTGGAGCTCATGTTTGATAGATTAAAATCTCATTATTTTGTGTCCATTTCTCTTCCTTTCAGTTTTAAATTTTGATTCATTTCTTCAGTGGTTATAATATGTCTTTGCATTGACTTAGTTTTTATCTAGGAAAAGGTTGCGAGTGTTCTGTTTTCAAAGTCTTTGAGTATTTGAGAATATCTTTTATGCATGAATAACAAAGTAGCTAAGTATACAAGTTTGCAATCATTTCTATTCAAAAACACCATATACAGTTTTCTCTGTTACTCTCTGACCTTTATTGCCATCTATCCCAAAACTGAAGCCAGAGTAATTTTTGTTTCCTTTTAGGTATCTTTGATTTTTCCTGTTGGGACATATGAAGAAATTTAAAAATTTACAGTTAGAATTCCTTGATTATAAACAATGACAAATTTGAGGCATTTGTAAGAAAATGGATGCACCTGGAATACATAATCCTGAGTGAAATAAATCAGACACACAACCATGAATACCATATGGTATCCTTCATTTGAATGAGGTATAGTATAAACAAAGAAGATGATAAAAGATGGATAGAGAGGGACAAGGGGACAGACCTCATCCAATAGGGAAACGGACCAAGGGAACAAGGAAAAGGAGCAAGGGAAGGGAAAATGAGAAGAATAAAGATGTGCCATGTACAGGAACCTTATAACCCTATTCAATGTAAACAT